CTTTCCGAAGTGGTTCCAAATTATAATAAAACGATTCAGTACTTTTTGAAGTGATTCCGAATTATTCTCAAGTGATTCAGAACTTTCCGAGGTGATCAAGAGCATTTTTATGTAATTTCAAACTTTTCTAAAGTAAGTAAGGTACATTGGGGCAAGGTGAAAAGGGTTTTTCAAAGTTGAACTTTGAGGCTCTCTGGAAAAATCATAAAGTAACATAAACCTGATGTTTTTCCACAAAAGTTTAGTAAAAGCGTATTCTATCATTTAAAAAAATTGTTTATATAAAAAAACTTACTTTAGGATACAAATATGGTGTGTGTTGTTTTATTTTGCCCCAGATTAACGATGAAAATTTTCATCTATTTTATGAATTTACGATAACTTTGCGGAAACTTCTGCGAAGATCAGACGATTTCAAGACAGTACCACTAATATCAGAAAAAAAAAACAAGAGAACTTTCCAGAATTTCTGAAATCTTCAGGGAAATTTAAAGAACTTCAAATATGTTCCGAGATTTAAGGCAGTTTATCAAGTCTCAAGGAATTATGGGGAAAAAAATCAGGAATACTTCCAATAATTTCAGGAAACCGTTGTTGCGTTAATATCAAGAAAATTTCCGACCCATTAAGAAAGATTTGAGAGCTTCTTGACAATTTAAGGATCTTCAGGGATGCACTAAAACACACTAACAATGTCTTATAACCCAACAGACAATTTTATTTGCAGAGCAGCCTTATGCAGCTTAAAACTGGCTTATTCAGCATTTAACCTGCTATATTGTTTGCTTGGAAATTTAGTAAAGATTAAAGATTTATCAAGGAAGTTTCTAAAACTTCAAGAACCTTTCGGTAAGCTCAGAAGATCAAAGAACTTAAAGGTGGTTCAGTTAACTTCAGGATATAGGCGGATACATTTAAAAAAATCTCAGAAATTCAGGGATTGTTCTCAGAGCATCAGGAAAGTTTAGAGACTTTCTGAGCAGTCCAAATAACATCAGGAAAGCTTCGAAAACGGAATTTCTAGACATTCGGAGAAGTTCAAAACTCCTGTAGAATTAATTCTCATAAATTAAATGCATTGTTATAAACATTAAAAAAAATCGAGATCTCCACAGGAAATCTTAAAATTGTATTTAATATTTCGTTTTAACTTCAGGAAAATAACGGAAACCTTACAGAAGTCAGGGAATTTAAGGGAAGTTCATCGCACCCCAGTGAAATTTGAATATTATTTAAAACTGCCAAAACTTCACAGAACTTCAGTGAACTCCAGTTGAGTGTAGGAAATTTCCGAGAACTTCGGGGGAAATTGCATAAATCTCCAGAGAATATCCACTGATAATTAGGATGATGCAGAAACATTTTAAGTTACGTTTCGTAATCTTTAAGGCAGTTTAAAATATTGCAGGAACTTGTAAGATCATCTCAGTTCCATTAATTTCAGGAAATAGTTTTTAGGAAGTCCAGAGATCTTCAGAGAAGCTTAGAAAACTTTAGAAAAATGTCAGGAATTTTACAGAAGTACAAAGAACTACAAGGGGCAGTTCCAAAAACTTCAGAGAATCTCAAGGACTACAGAGAAGCTCCGAGAATATCAGGGAAGATCTAAGAACCTCAGAAAACTTCTATTAATTTCCGGGAAATTTCGAATGTTTTTTATGGAAGTTCGGACTACTTCAGGCGGGAACTTCAGGAAAGATCCATTCCAAATTGAGGAAACTTCGGGGATGTTTAGTGATGCTTAAAGAAGTTTAATGATTTGATAGCAAGTTTCGAGAGCATCACACTTTATAAAACTTCAAGAACATTGCAGAAACTTCCGGTACGATCAAAAAAACATCAAGACAATTTCAATAACTTGTGGGAGCTTTAAATAATTACTGAAAACTTTCAGTTATTTTCCAAAGTCTAGACATCTTTATGATCTGGGTAACTATAGATCTCCTCTGCAAAGTTTGAGTAGTTTGGATGACTTCAACTCAACGTGGTTTTCCTTGAGCTTTTTGCAACTATCCTGAAATTCTTGGTTATTGGATTTTTTTTTTAAATTTATGGATTTCTGTAAAGTTCCCAAAATTTCCTATGCTCCACAAGAGTTCTATGGACTTCCTTGAAATTCCCGGAAATTCTGATATATCTCGAGATTTTCCTGAAGTTCAGGAAGCTGCCCTTAAATTCTGGACTGTCCTGAATTTATTGGCACTGCTCATAAAATCTGCAGTGGATATCCAGACCTTGCTTCTATGAGGTTCTTGGAACTTCTTTAAAGTTTCTCCGACTTTCCTATAGTTCTCTGGATTTTACTGAAGTTTGCTTAAAATTCCTGAAGTTCTCTGGATATCCTTGAAGTTCTTAGTACATTTTAAAAGTTCCTGAAGTTTTCATTTTCCAGTCTTGCAGTTCTCAAAGCTTCCCTGAAGTACCCGAAATTTTACAAAACTATCGTGAAGTTCTAATTTTCATCTAAATTCACGAAATTCTTCCAAAGTTCATGAAACTAACCTGAAGATCTTGGAGCTTAGCCTAAAAGATTGTTCATTTTTTTTCCCAAAGTTCAAAGTTCTTAAAGTTCCTGGTATTAATGGGTTTGTCCTGAAGTTCTCTGATATGTACACAGAATAAAATCTTGCTAAATATTGCATCCAAACACCTGCATATAAGTTATTCTTCTGACAGTGTAATTTTACGTTGTAAGATATACATTGCGAAAAAATCACATGGATGTATGTAATATTGTATCTGATTTTTGATAATTACATCAATATTGCGTACAGCAGCTTGAATTACGTTGAACGATATTACATTTATCTTGCTGTGTACTACGAAAAAAAAGAGTACACAGCAAAAAAATAATTATAAATAACTACAATCATGTCGAAAATTTCATGTAATTTTTATGACCACTTAAATAAACAAATGCAGTAAAAGCAGCGTAATGTCAGTTCATGCATTGTATTAATGACAATTTTGTCCTTTTTAGCAAGTAATATTACACCATATTTTCGACATGATTGTAGTGCATCCACTTTGACGTGATATCAAAATTATTTTTTTGCTGTGTATAAACTCTGTCCAACTGAATCGTTATAGGGCAGAGCACTACTTTGATATAAGCGCCCATTTCTGTCATATCGAGCAAAAACATCAAATATATCAATGATTTCGGCGTTAACGAATCAATCATACGTTTGGTACGATAGTTTAATTCAAAAGCTACAAAACAATGCCGTTTGCGTTTAGGCGGAATTAAACGAATCTCGAAATTCGAAAAATAACTGTAATCAATGAAATTGACTACACAGTCGTTAAACCGTGCATCACTGTAACTTTTTTGATTCTCAACGAATTAGAACCCATTCAACATGAAAAGAATGCTGATTTGGATTCTGATATATTTATACGTGTGAAAATTATTATTTTTTACATATTTTTTAAGATTAAAGTGTAAATTTCGTTTTGTTCCACGGAATTCTGCGGGATCGAAATGCATGCCCTAAATCAACAACAACGCCAACGGTGGCTTAAAGAATTAATTGCCGTGCCAGGAGATTGGTAAACTCTCCCTTTGTATAGTTTTGAGCTCTAGCAACGATTTTGTTTGTTTGTTTGTTTTTGTATTAAAGTTAGTTCAACACATGATACGTCATTTGTGACTTGTCGTTGGATAAGATTTTAAATGTTTCAAAAGTTTGTATAAGTATAACGTTGCTGATTTATGTAAAACAAAACTGTTTACGTTAAAAAGAGATAAATTTGGCTTCAGATTATGGTACCATGATAAAAACGTCCTACATGGTGGGACAGAGTTATGAATCATTTGATTGAGGCTCCTCGGTACATGCCATATCCGAAGTTTGAGTCATGTTTATTTTTTTTACTAAATCCTGCTTCTCTAATGTATGGTAGAGGAAGAGGACATTGAAAAGATCATCGACTCACTGATACTAAAATTGCCTTTGATTATGTTTCGAATTCATGCTGGAACAGAGACCTGCACAAATAAAAAATAAATCACTGAGTTTCTTTGTCTAGAATTTTTACAATTGAAATAATCGATAATTTTAGAAAAAGAAGTGTGGAAATATACAATTTCTTGAAATTTTGTATCTGTAGCCTTCAGCTCCATCCAATCAAACTCTTTAACGCATAATTAACCTAACATTCCATCCAATCAAAGCGTCACAATTAAGAATCAACCATTTCTAGAAATTATCCCCTCCGTTTTTATGCTGGCCTGTGTAAACCAATTAAACGACCGCTGCGAGAATTTCAACATGAACAGAAAAAAAACTCGTTACCATGCAGTGGTAAAAGACAGTGCTATAAAAACCGAATAATCATCATTCGATCGTAACTCTTTATATTGTCGTTATTTTGATTCTTTTGCTTTCATTGCTACCAAAGTAGGAGGGGCTTATAAGAGCAAAGAGAGAGCGAGAGATATATATTTATAGAGAGAGAGAGAGAGAGAGAGAGAGAGAGCATGCGCAGTGCATGTGTTCTCTCATGAATTGTATTGACTTTGGTGCACTGCACTGGGTACTCACCGTTAGCAAGCACGACAGGCAGAGAATGAATCATCGTGTAGTAGGGTGATGGTTTGAGTCACTCTCTAATACTATGCAGAGACAAAGCAATTTTATGCCCTAGTGAGAGGATGATCGAACCCTTTGTTGGTGAGCTGTTGGGTGCTATTCCGTTCGGTTGGGTGGGTAGAGTTTTTCGATTTTCCTTTTGCGGTGTTATTGTGCAGTGGGTGAGCACTCCGTTCGTCATCAAGACAGGATGGTTCATGAAAGACTGACCTTAGAACTTTATGTTGTTGTTTTGCCTTGCGTTATGCTTGGTAGAGAATTGTGCGTGCATAAACACACAGTAAAAGTTCCTCGGTTGAGTTGTGTCCTGCTCTGGCTTATGTCTAGAAGATTTCGTTTTATTTATTTTTTGCTGAGTTGTTACTCTTTCGTATTTTTCTTATGTTCGTTTGTGTTATGTTTCAGACGGGAACGATACGACGTATGATGTGGCTGCGGCTGCCTTCAAGCTACCAGTTGTTGTGTCACCGCAAGCCAGTGCGCAGCATAGCGATAACAGCAGCAGTAGCAACTCGGCCAGACAGCGGCAGCATATTGAACATTCTACGATCGATAGTGGATCGAGTGCATCACAGGAAGAGTCCAAGGAAGTTAGTGAAAGTGAAAACGTAACTAGTAAACAGTCCGATAACGAATCAACCAGTGCTACGGTGAGAGATAAGACCGAAACGTTATCAGCAGAGCTCGCGAACGGTGTTGTAGGTGGTAGAGACCACACAAGTGATTCTATGATTTATTCAACGATAAGAACAAACGAGGAGCATGTAAACACTCCTTCGGTGATAACGTCTAGTTCCAAGCAATTACAAGAAAGTGCACAGAAATACGAATCATATGTTAACGCGAATCAACAGTTGGCTTCCCCGCCGCGATATTCAACGCTACATCCATTGGTAAGCCCGGGTCTGCATCAACAGGTGGGTTACTTCAATTACGCGGGACAAGAACAGGTGTTCAACAGTTGGCCGTACGATCTATCGTACAAGACAAGTGATCTTGGACGACATCAACCACATCACCACACGCAGCAATCGGAGAGCGACGAACGCGACTTAAGCCATCATCACCAACACCAGCAAAGAGAAGTTTACTGCAGCAGTGCTAATAATCATCATTCGCACGATTCGCATGCTCACCAGCATCCGGAGCATTCGAATTTAAATTTGAATATCAATCCAATTAGTAGTGAATCGTCAGCCATGAGGAGTAGTCTGTTGGCATTCTGTCCGACTTATGCCTCGTCGTTAGCGCAACACGGTGGCGATGATTTGCACCACCACCAGACGGGACATCCCCATCAGCATGGTTCTGCAATCGATGAAGTGATTGCAGACACCCTGAAGGATGAAAGTTGTGCTATCGTGGATCACTACCTAACTCTCGGTGGCGCCGGTACCGATATGGGTCATCCAGGTGCCTCGGGAACTGATCTGGCCGATGATTCGCCACATCATCATCATAATCATCATGAGCTACACGATCTTAAGGACTATAGTGCCGCTGTTTATCATAACAACAACGATAAGAGTGTGATCAATTTCAATCATCATCACAATAATCATCATCAGCACCACCACCAGCAGCTGCAGAACGCACACAACGGCAACAGCAGTGGCGGTGAATCGCGCAGTCCTTCGGGCTACTCGCATGAAGAACTGGACAGCAGTCTTTCAAACCTGACTCAGTTGATCAACGTACCTCGCGCGAGTGATACCAGCACTTCAGCGGCAGTGGCAGCGGCGACGGCGGCTGCAGCAGCTTCTGCCAACATGTACCAATCGTCACCGGTTCACGATCATGCAGCGGCAGCCGCACTGATGCAGCACGGGACTAGCATCTACGATACGCTGCACGGAGCGGGTATCCCAAGCAGGTGAGTGCACAATCCTTAACGGGGTTTTTCAAATGGTGTGTTTACGGTAATTATAAGCAAACGTGGTTGTGATGAACTGACTAAAGACATAGGTCAGGGGGGGTTCGTATGAGAAGATTCAATAGAAAGTTATTCATGCGATAAAGCTGTACAATTTTGACAAATTTAACTTATTGCTTCTTGTTGCTTATTGATGTCCTTATCTTATATACATACAGTAATTACCTGATTTTGTCAGTCCCTCCGCGCATCAGACTTTAACCCAAGAAGCGACTACTCAAATCACCGAAAATGAGCTGTATTTTTGCAAGCGAATAAACAAGGTTTTGATTGTATTTCAAGATTAAATTTTTCATTTGACATTTGATTTGATTTCACAAAATCGAGTCATTACTGTAATTAAAAACTTAAACAGTGATTTGAAAATAATAAGTAGGGTAGAGAACTACTTCGGCCTAATCGCCTATTTTGGGCCTATTGAGCAGAAATCTTCAAATAAATGCATGATTTCAGAGTAAACAAGTCAATTTGTGCGTTGGTACGATACTTTAGTTAATAAGCTACGGAGCGAAGTCAATGAGAACGCGTGATATGAAGGTTTGCACCCATTATTCCCAAAAACAAAAGAAGCGCTCCGACCGAATCATGTTTTATCTTCATCCGATAGGCCGAAGTGAATTCATTGGCCTTTGAATGGCGTTTCAATGCGTTAGGCCGAGTTTAGAATCCGTAGGCCGAGTTTGGCTTCAATAAGCAGTGTTAGACTTTTGACAATATCTCAACGATTGGTTTCTCTTTATCAAATCTTACGGTACGTACGGAAAGGTAAATAAATTTGGAAGCCATCAGTAATAATAACATTCCGTTTGGTGCTATGCTGTGCTAGATTAAGAAAGACTAAGTGCGGGTTGTGCTTAATAGGCGTAGTTAACCCTATCAATAACTTATAATTAGTTTTCTAATTTATTTTGGTCAGTATTACAAGCTGAAGTTTAAGTTATACTGGGATAATATGGGATCGTCTATTTCTTTAACAGTCTTGTCCTAATCCATTTTTTTGGCATTATAACGTCTCCACTGTCCACTTTCCTCTCCCAATTTTTCTAAGTAATTGGAATTAACTCCATACTTCTTGCTCGATTGTTCAAGCATCCCTAGGATCCTTATTTTTTCCGGCATAAATTTATTGTTAGTAGAGTTATACTTCGTTCAGACTAGAGAGGGACTGGCAGGTTTTGAGCCAAACGAACTGTCAAAACCAGAGCCAATCGAGCAGCGCATATCTTGATTGCATTGACAGTGTTGCTAGAAATCACCTAGGCATAGGTTGCCAATGTAGTTTATTTTGAATCCGCTCCTCATTTATACTAGACCCTCTATAGTTCATTCTATAGTTTATATCACGTAATATAGGTTGTCTAAACTGAAATTTTACGTGTGCGGACTCAGATGATTTTTATTTTCAAGCCAAATTGCCAAATCAATATTTTCATTTCAAATTTCATTTTCTCTTAAGACCAACACCGTTCAAATGAAGAAGCATTTTTTTTCATTAAGCTCATTCAAAAAGGAGAGCTTCTCGAGAAATGTAAACAAACCGAAGCAAAACAATTTGATTATACAGCTCCAATTCTTAAAAGGATTGGTATTAGACGAAAAAACAATAACACTTCTTGAATACATCCCTTTGATTGCTACACCGTATATCAAAATTTCCCCTACATTTTCATGTTTTGGAAAATTCAAGCCCACTGCGATGCATTTTAAGTTGGCTGCACTTTGACATCTTCACTTGGATGCACTTTGACAAGCATTTTGAGTAAGTCCGCACTTCCAGGTCTGACCATAGTATTACATTGAGCGAAGTAATTGACAGGAATTTATATGACTATCCTATGGGTTTCTGACACATACGTTTGAAATGTACGATTGTTGCTTGAACATTATTTATAAGAGAATCGCAATCGCATGAGCATTTTCCTCATTGATGAGAAAATAATCGCAGCCAGGATTCGGAAAATGGACTTCAAATCAAGAGGCGTACTGGGCCAACCGCACTAGTACCACGACACTTTTATTTTTTAACTTTTTAAAGAGATTTTTAACCGTTGGTTAGTTCATCTCTTCACGATACTTGTTGGAACAATGCGACTAATACTTATGACAGACATGATTGTAGGAACGTTGTACTCATTTCATCTAGTATGTTGATTGTGGTACTGGATTAAAGGAGTACAACGGTACTATCATAGAGGTAACTCTAAGACCAGAAGGTCCCGAAGATACGTGCTCAACTTTTTGGCTCAGCTCTGGTACTATCTTCGGTCCCAAGCTAATCGATGCACCCCACGAAACGTGGGAAAATTCACGAACCCCTCATTTTATCTGTTAAACTTTCATAGAGAATCAAAACAAACATAGTGTAGTACTAGAATTCCGACTAGAATGGGGAACGTTAATCGATCCCGAATTCGCGATAAATCAATGATTGAAGTAGTTTTTTTTTACAAAAACAGTTACGTTGCACATTCAATGTGTCTAGACATCGAATTGAAAACATTTAATCCTTTAAAATACTATGAATTCTGTGAAGCACAATTGATGAAACATGATGTTATTATTTCTTCCACGTTTCTTAAAATGGACGCCTTATTTTTCCTTGATTTGTTTTCCGTCGATCTTGTTTTCCGTGCTGAGCACCAATGCTACCGACGACAGGGAGGCAGCTCCCACACCTGGACCCTATTTATCGACCCATCAACTCATGAACCGGGGACCAATGGCTTTACTTCCATTCCGAAGGAAGGCGTGATCAGAAATGTTATGCCTCAGAACATCCCGGCGGCGCCGACTGGAATTGAACCCAGGCCTGCTGGGGTGAGAGGCAATCACGCTTACCACTACACCACCGGCGCCGCTATCTTCTAAATCCTTAGGTGAAATGAAAAACATACTAGGGGAAATGGCTCTAAAAATCTGCTATTTATCAGTTTTACCTACATAAGACTCGTCATTCGGACGGTACTTATGGATATTTTTGGTCGCTATTGTCGATTGTTGAATTTATGTATGGGCCCAAATTAGGGGCATTTAGGCCGACATTACATCCATTTACCCTATTATATGCAAAAAGATCAATATCGCAAAGTCATAAAACACGGTTGCAAGTCATTAATATACACAATAAATAAAAGGGGCCCTAATACACTTCCCTGGGGCTCTCCAAGGTTTTTCTACGGGACTGGAAACAAAATCGTTAAAAACAATCCGTTGAGTTCTGTTACATAAATAATAAGCAGTATTCGTATTTTCAAAGCGCTTGATTGTACTTAACAATATTTATTTATTTCGTCAAGCAAAGTAGACTACATACAATGTTTACAGCCCAACAAACATTAGAAACGGAATAAGAGCTTATTCAGCCAAAAATATGCTTCTTCAGCTGAAAAATTGCTTATTTAGCCTTTAATCAGCTCAAATTGTTTGTTGGGAATGCTTTCCTTACATGCTATGCATTATTTCTATTTCCTCTTAGTCGAGTTTTTATTTGGTTTTTGGCCCAGCATGCTATTTGATTTGCTTATGATAGTGTTATAATGTTCTACAAATGTAAGTTTGGTGTCCAGTATTACGTCCAAGTCCCTTACAATTGTGCATTTGTCTTCTATTTCGTTTCCTAAATTTTTTTTTTTTTTTCGTAGTGATCCAGTGGCAGCACTTGCTTAAACTCTACACTGGACCCCTTTTATTGATAAATTTTGCTTCTATGAGCCTCTATTTTAAATCAACACACAGACGTTCCTAGGCTATGGTGCCCGTTTGGTCACTGTTGTTTTTGTGCTGATCCAAATAGTTTTGATAATATAATTGCGCATTCTTTTTTTTTAAAGGTTGATTTTTGTCCCAGTCTTGTCTTCTGTCGTCACTTATTTTGTCATTTTGTCTTGTGTATTAACCCCGACTTGTCTTGTTTATTGTGTCAACTTGTGTCTATTGTCCTTCCCCATCTGTTACTCTGTCATGACTAATTTCATTGATATATAAAAATAGTAATATCAATTACAGGATAATATGGTTATTTCTCGATTACTTTTTCAAAGGGAAGCACCAGCTCCTGCAAACAATGCATCCAATCGTCGATCCGGCGCAACCGGCAGCTCGCACACGCTTATCAACACCACCAGCAGGTAGAGGAAAATTTTCCCTATCTGATGATAGTGCCAGCCCGCGTGGGCGAGCCACCAGTTAAGCCAAAGCAACGACCAAACGCACCGCCTACAAAAGCCAATACGCTCCCTTGAAAAAGTTATCGAGATTTCTACTAACTAATGAATTATTGACAATTACCTCTCATGATCCTTAGCTCTGATTTTAACTTACCACTTTTTGATTATTTATGAAATACCTCTCCGAGTATATAACGCCCCGATGCCTTGTTGGTTTCTGGTCTCATTTGGATTGGTCCTGAATTTGTTTGATATCCTGTTCGAAGTAACTCTTTGAGTTCCAGCTTGTACGTGTTTCACGTCATATGATTCGCCATTCATAAAGATAATGGGTTAAAAGGGAGTAAAACATACATAAAGGTAGATTAGTATTAGCTGTACTTGATCCAAACAATAGAAAGAAGCATAGATGACTTAGTAGAAAAATAAAACTAATATATAACTAAAAGTGAAATGGATAAGTGTTAGTTCCGGGATCATTTTAGTGTTAGTAGTTATGTTAGTTTTGATCCGTATTCAGCCCTGCCGGCCCCTCCAGCACTATTTGCAGCAATTGTGATAAGATTATGCGACACTGCTACTACTACTATGTTAGATGTATGACTTGTCAATTTTCGCAACGCAATGTCTTTCAATAAATCACTCAATCAATTTGATGTTTGAAAATTTGCTCAAAAAGGCTTTGTTGACACATCATACCTTACCGAAAACTAAAGCACAACAATCCTAATTCTTATTTCAAACCTATCAACATATTTAACACATCTTTCCTAA